TCGCTTTCCTCTCCCCATCTCCTTCACTATAGTCACATATGCAAACTGTATGCGTAACTTACACTTTTTCTTACAGTCAACTAATGCCAATAAGAAGTTGGGTTTTCCAAGTAAGCCTTGAAAAAAGTAAAAGAAGTAATTTTTTATGAATCTGTTAACTTTACAAACAATATCAAGATATTTAAATGCGACTTCTACAGGTTAACAAAATACACCTTTCGTAACAAAACCAAGTAAACTGTTTAATGTATTAAGTTTACTGTCTGTATTCAATGAAACCAGTGTTCCGGAATGAACCAAAAGATAAGAAAGCGCTGAAAGAACAACCAATATTTTGACTTTTCTGCAGCACTACTCACTGTGAGATAAACAAAAAAAAAAAAGGATTTTGGTAAGCTAAGAAAAAAGTTAAATTTTATTATTTTTTTTCCATTCTACCATCAATACCATCTTTATTATCACTACCTTTACGAACAGCTTTAGCACCACAAAAAAAAAATTAAAAAAGAAAGAGAGAAGTCAAGAACTGAAGCTCATAAACCCCACACATACCTACTACTTAACTCAACAAATGCTATGGTACATTCCTATACTAAACCTTCCCTAATTCTTCAAAGCACTTTTTTCACCAAAATGATTCAGTGTGCATTTTGCAGTTTTTCGTTTTTTATTTTATGAGCCTCCCGTCAGTGATTTTGGATTAGTTAATAACTCATTAAAGCAGAAACTCGTCAAAATAAATTACTGAACTTTTAAGTCTTAACATACTGCACATCTTTCAAGAGTTTCCTTCAACATTTACATCCTTCTTATTTTTTTCACTCTTTTTCACTTTTCTTTCCCTTTGGTATTTTTTCCTTCATCAAAAATCAGCAATTTTGAGAGAGCTTTAGAAAAAAATTGTTGCGACTCCAAAAATTTCCCGCAAATCTAACTAACCCCTCCGCCCCCTACTCCTTCCCTTCCTTATCACCACTGCAATCATCATTACTGCTCTTATCCAACAATTTTCTTCTTCATCAACATTACTCCTAACATTATATCACCCCCAACACCAATAAATACAATGCACGCAAATGTTTAGAACAGTTATAACCAGAAATAAAACAGAAATACCAACAATAGTCCTTCTTTTAACATAAAAAGTTTAATAAACACAAAATTTTAATATAGTATGAGGAGATATGGAACACTAATTACAAAAACAACTAATTAAGCAAGCGAAAAGAACAAGTCAATAGAAAAGAAAACAAAAAGTTTTTTGTAAACTTGAGTAAAATCAAATGATTAAATTTATACTGCAAAATTGAATTAGGCTCTAAAAACAATAATTAATGAAATGTTTTTAGACTGTATTATTAGTTAGCGAAACAAACAGTAAAGATTAAGAATAATTTATTAGTGATCAAAAATGTTCATCGATCTAAAAAGCACGATTAATGTAACATACATAAAACAATAAAAAATAGGTACTTAAAAAAGCAGTTATTTTTTTATTCTTATCCTCTCCTCCTTTTTTAGTAATATTTAAAAAACTGAATCAGAAAATCAATAACGCCAAAGTAGTGTCCAGTAAATCAGAACTAAAATCTGCTAGAGGTAATTTTGAAGAAATCAGAGTGATTTGTCAAAAAGAACTACGTCTACAAAGGAAAGAAGAAGCAAAGACAGGGTAGGAAATGTCGAAGGCATATGCTTTCCTCAATATCAATTCTTTGCCTTCGTCAAAAATCTTGATCGATCAACTGAAACAGAAGAGCCAACACTTTCCTACTTTATTTCAAAAAAAAAAAAAACGCTCTCTCCTAACCGTTCCGTAGTGACTGCAAGTTCAAAAAAAAAAAATTCTGTTTGTGAAATATATTGCTAGAAAGGTGCTCAAGGATAAATGAATGAACAACTGAAACAGCAAAAACAAAGAAGCAAAAATCAGCTGAAATTTTGATTACTCGTGACCTAAACGGTCAGTCAGAAAAATTGAACTGTCA